TAGCGTCGTGACGGCTTCATCTTCATCGGAGCCAGTGTTCCAAGTGTGTGTTCCACAGTTGTGCGTCTTCTCGACCATCAGTTCTGATGAAGACGAAGACGTCGAAACGTTGGCCGAATAAACCTTATTATTAACCTTATGTAAGCCCAACTATTTAAACAAGTCTCTTAGAACGATCGAAATGTTTCATGTGCTGTTGAGAGGACGAAACTGGTTCTCGTTAATTCTCTAATTTGGAGCAGCGGTGCAACGTGAAAGATGAGGGTTTGTTCTTCGCTGCGCTTTGTCTGAACATAAAGCATCTATTCAACTTTTTTCCACTAGAGTTTAACTTGCCACTAGGCTTTCGTGACTTCCCAAATAATCAATTCTACGAGCTATTTCGAATGCTACCCACCTGGTACAACCGCTGCCCCCGACCTTCGCAACAGGTATGCAGCGTAATTTTTTTTTTAGAACTTTATTTACTTGGATGAGTCATCTTTACCGGTTGTTCGGGCTCCAGCATAATTTCCATATCGCTTTTGGAGTTTTACTAGTTTATATATTGTGGTTCCCTGGAGTCCCGAGATCAGCTATGCCAAAGTATGCCCGTTTTTAGAACTTTGGAGGTTTTATTAATTGTTCAACGTGAATAAAGGGACTGAAATTGTTAAACGACGTTGTCTATGATATCCAAGTGCAATTTCCAGGTTGATATGTCGGAAACATCCAGCACTTCTGGAGAAAAGTTTGCATTTGCCTATGTGTATCATTGCGAATGCGAAAGATCGATTGAGGGCAATATTTTTTTATCACTCAGCGGTTTTCAAAAGTACAGAACACCTGGAATACTTACTGGTGAATTATGCTAGCTGAGGTTTCGAATTTGTGTTAATCTTTCAAATATAGCTTGGTTATCGGATTGAAATTTCACAGTTCTTGAGCACACGAATTTTCGTAAGCGTTTTCAACAACAGCTAGGTTGTACGGCAATTCCTTATAAGTGAACGGTTTTATAAAGGGTTATCCAAGTGCCAACTGGGATTTGTAAAACAATGCCGGGGCCCACAACACCATTGAGAACCATCCAACTATCCAAGTATCCTATCTATCGATTTATTTTATAGATCGGTTTATCGATGTCAATTTATTTATCAGATCGACATGCTGAACCCTCCTTACTTTGATTTGACCACGACGGAAATTTCGAAACCAACGTTGTACTGTGCACTGTTTAACATTTGATTATTCCCATATCTCATTAACGCTTCGAGCCATTTGCTCTGTACACGTCCGTGGTTGACCTCGAAAAGTGAAATTGCTGGATTCGCTGTTTTGACATCCCAACCTGTAAAAGTTGCCAAAAATACATACTATGTTGCAATTCAACTGTTCATGGCGAATAAGAGATAAAATAAGCTTTGCCAGATGTATAATAATAAGACATTCGAAACTAATTGTTGCTAAGACATATGCAAGAAAAGCAAAGTTCCAGATCCTGTGCAGTTGTCTAACCACATAATAGTTCTCCACATCGCGCTAGTTGTGTGAGTGGGTTAGATTTTTTTTCACAGGTTTCTCGGGAGCCATGCCAGGAATTTTTCGGGTCATAACCTATTTCTTGGACTATGCTGTTTTATATATACAGTTTGTCGTTCAAACCGGTGAGAAATGTTTCAGATTCGGGATGTCCTATGGTTTGGCTGATAACGAAAGAAAAGATATCATCAAAAAATGTGGTAACTGAATTGTGGAACCCTATTACGCAGTGGAGACTACAAAACAGCAACGTTGAACGTACTCGTCTTGGAATAAGGTTAGTTTGTGTTCTTTGTGACAGTCTTTCTTTAACTCTTTTTCTATAACATTAATGATTTTAGATATTTTCCTTCTTGCTGAGTTGCTGTGAGATATTCGAAGGAAATGCTGTGACTTGAACAATCGTGCAGCGGCTTTAAATCTAGTCGTTGACTCTTTGAGAAGATGTCATGTTAACGATATTGTGAGTCTTGGAAGTTATTTAACATCAATGATTAATTTAATGCTTTCATTTGTTTAGAATGCATAAGAGAGTGTTTGCATAACAAATAGCGGATATTCTGTTGGAACTTTCGTCCTTTTCTTTAGTTTCATAGTGAAAACAGGTCAACTATAGCACGTCTCATTCGCAATTCACAGTCTGGAGATCTAATGGTCCCAACTTGAGGCTCTCATTTCCATCCATATTTTATTAGAGATGGGAAATGTACGTTTTAGGTGATAAAAAGAATAAAGGATACAGTTCTCAGCTTTGATCAATCTCTGAGGTATGCACCATGCGTTCGACTTCATCAAGCATCGTTGGGAAGTCACTGAATGCATATCTGGTCTTTATAATGGTGGCCTACCGATGTATCGAGCCAATGCTGCTACTCTCCCAGACAAGTCTGGTGCCAATTTGCCGACCCCGGAGGGATTGAAGGCTCGGTGAGGCTGGGCGCGAGGATTGGTCCCATGTGTATGTTGTAGGGCGCCTCCGACCACTGCGCCACACGCGCCCTATGCTTCATACATAGTATTTCAAAACGTATTTTTTCTTGAACACTCTCAAAACAGTGGTCTAAGCATATATCACAGCTGGTTTGTTACCTGTGATGCTGGTCTAGATCTCAAGTCAAAAGTAAATTCTTGGTCGGAAGAATGCAGCAGGGCATTACTTCCCCATCACCTGACCTAAACAGTGCTCGATATGAAGCGTCATCTTGCTCTTCTCCAGCATATGTTTATTAGAATTGCGGCTTCTTTCCTTACCATTAATTTGCTTTAACGATCAAGCGACTACTGGGTTTTTCTCTGTTACTTTATGTCTGTAATGGTAGTGCAAGGTGCTGTTCTATGCAGACTCGGTGTGATGCACTGGATTCGGTTCCGTTTCAGATTGGTCATTATTAAATACTGCTTTATTCTAATCACTGATATTACGAAAATTCTATGAAACGGCTTTGCCTCTAATGCTTTTCATAAGGATCTTCTTTATTAGTAAGTAATTTGATATCTAGTCAACCTTTATGATTACCAAGTGGAGATTTGTCAGTCTATATAGTTCAAAATATAACGGTAACGTTGCTGTGTTGGATTCCGTGGTCATTGTTCTCGAACTGGTAGACCATCTAGAAATCCCAGAGAGTACTTCGCACGGAAGTCGACGTCTCCGACGCCAAGCTCATCAATGAGTTTGAGTATCAATGTTATGGTTTTTCTCCATTTGTGTTTACAGACTCAGGTAATTCATGCCGTCTAATTTTAGTTGAAGCATGATGTCCTTTTTTCGGTAGCGTTTCCAGTTATGAGTAGCTATGTAAACAACGAAATAGCGGCGTCTGTGGTGCAGTGGTCGGAGGCATCTTGCAATGCATACGTGGAATCGATCTCTGCGCCGGCGGCTCACCAAACCTTTCATCCCTGCGGGGTCGGCAAATTGGTACCAGACTTGTCTGGGATCATAGCAGCACTGACTCGATTCGTCGTTAGGCCACCGCGAGTCATTGTAAAGGCCAAATATGCATTCAGTCACCTCCAGCGATGCTTAATGAAGTTGATTACATGGCGCATCCCTTAGGGAATGATCAACGTCGAGAACTTCTTTTTATGTGTACTGCGCACAATGTGTTCGATAAATGTTTAGTTTATAATGTTTGTGCACAGTCATGGGGGAAGCTGTTACGGAACCTTTACCTTCAGGCTCGTTCTCCGAAAAGACGAGTCAGGGTTATGTCCTTGTTGTTCTTCTGGATAAAATAGAATAATGTTTTATTGTTACAGTTTAGTTGCCGAGCAGCACCAGCTGTTTGGCAGATATTACTGGGATAATTTTTCATCGTAAGGCAATAAAACATGCATTTGATGCCTCCACGGTAAATACGTGTTTAGTTTCTTAGGAGGTTCATCCATATATATAAGGGTTTTTATTTTAAGGATAGGGTTCGCAGATATAATCTTCGTTTTCCTCGCCTTGTTACTCTGCCTGCGTGTAATAATTATCGGTAAAAATATCGGCTTCTACTTTCTCTTGATATTTACCGTCTATGAATGAACTCAATCATCAAAGCGATAAGCTTGAAGGGCGCATTATTGAGGTCTGTTGCACATATGTCGGCAATGCGCTTACTACTTATTTCATGAAGACGTTAAGATTGCCAGCTTTTGCACTAAGATATCAATCCATGTCTAATAAACATTTTCATTTGTTTTTTTAAGCAGCTTTTCACCTTGAAAGACATGAATAAATAGATCCGGAAAGCTAATGATAGAATTGAAGTTCTAACGATGCCGATAAAACAATTAGAAAGAGCATCATCATGTGTTGGAGATGGATTATAGGGGTTCATACCACGAGGTAATGCGTTTTCCACATTGGTCATTCATTTGTTTTTCGACAGCGTGAACTCAGAAATTCCTGCATAGATCGCGTTCTTCAGGGAGTTTAAGGATTTCTGATTAAATTAGCCCGCCATCTACAAAAGTCGATGGACGCGGTTATGAACACTTCTTTTTGTGCACTAGTGCTTACGTCAGTTTATTTTCATCCTTTGACGGTTGATAGATGTTCCTATTTCTTCTTGTTTATCTCATCGAACCAAAGGTTGTTTTTTTTAATGCTATAGATCCATTTTTTTAGAAAACTGAGAATCCAGAAGAGACCAAGTAGCTGTGAGTGTTTGGCACATGACTAATAATCACTAATTACTTTTGTATTTTGCGATTTAAATTTGCTATGTAAAAACATCTATTGAAATTTTTTATTGCCTCGTGTATTCGATATATTACACATGACTAGAGCTCTCGGAAGGCTATGATTGAAGTTTCGGGCAAGTATAGTTTGACTCAATAAAGCTTTGATATCGGAGAATGGAATTTAATGGAACAGTGCAAAATCAGAACAATGGGATATACACGATTTGAGCACACAGCTGTCCGCAAGCAAAACGGGAGAAAAAATGTTTCAAGCGTAGAGGATTGCATATCGTACGGAGTTTCCCTTAGAATTCTCCACCTCTAGCGAACGAAGTGCTTCGCAACACAGCTGAGCTGGCTGATTGCATCAAGCCACCGGGGCCGTTGGGTCCGACGGAAGCTGAGGCACGGATCTGAAGCAAAGGAGATATGCAATGCAACGGAGTTCACAAGCTTAATAGTTATTATAGGTTTCGCTCATTATAGGAGACTCATTCAAATGACGGTTCGGTCCTCCGCTGTTCCAAATTTTTACAGCCAGAGTTAGACGATTCCATAGCGGGATATCCGATGGTAAAGATTCTATTTACACCTTTGTACACCTTTACACCCCACCTGTTTCTCCAGTTAAAAAGCGAACATTGTAATGTCCTAGAAATAGGAAAAATTGCCTTGTTGCGCATTTTGCTCAATGCGTTCTCGGCGATGTCGGCGCGTTCTTCGGCGTCGTTGAGTTGTGCCTGTAGCTGACGATACTTGCCGAGGTTGGTAGCGGCGACTTCTTCCTAGAATGGTTTCTTCTTAGTCTTTGAACCAAGCACTTGAGGACTGGTCTAATTTGTTCGCCACTATTACTCGTTGGCACCTAGGTATGCTTCATGAGAAGAATGAATACGGTGTCATCAGCGCGATTCTTCCATTTGTATTTATGCAGCGAAAAATTCTGTGATGATAAAGGTATCGACTGAATTCAAAAAGCATTGCGAAAATCTCTGCATTAAAAAAGACGACATGGAAGAATTGATTTTAAATCAGTGTAAATCGTGTGCTGTGGGCTAAATGATGATTGAGAGCATGGATTCTCTAGGTTTTTTAGCTACGAGTTAGGACTTCATATGGAAGGGAACTCCTTGTTAACGGATTTCCTGTTATTTCATCTTTATCCATCAAAACTTAAGTTAATATTGGTGAAAGCCACTTAATAGTGTAGAATAGCGCGCTTACTAGCTCAAGGAAGTAATTCGAAGTGTTACCAAGAAAGTAGTTATTATTCAAACAAACCGCCTCTTCAACTTGTCGTTTGAACACTTTTAGCTTATTCTGTAGTTTATCGATGAGCTCGGTGAGTCGTTCTTGGTTCTTCTTGTCTTCCTCCAGTTGGAATTCAACCTCTTTCACGCGACGTTCCGATTTGCGCCAGTTCTTGTCGGTTTCTTGGTGGCGTCTGGAAGTAAGGTAATCTTCTTTCGAGCAGGTTTATTTTGGAAATCATTTTGCCATTGCATATGAGTGTTGATTTTTTGTTACTTTCTTCAAATAAGCAGTGACTAACGTTAGATGGTGGTGAATATCTGAAGATTTTAGGTTCGTTTCTTTAATATTTTTCCTTTGTGAAATTTTGAGAGACAGACGAAACGAAGGACCCGCATGTGTGGTGGTGAACGCGTTACTCCCCGGAAAGGACAATAGCGCGTTCGTTCCCCACCGCAGACACCTGCGGTCCGGAGTTTTGCAAATATCTCAGCACCATTGACAGTTATATTCTTTATTGTGGTTGGCGACGACCATTGTTATGATAATAACTATAGTGTGGTACAACCACAACGATGCTGAGACATTTGCGAAATTCCGGACCGCAGGTGTCTTGTTGTGGAACGAACACGCCATTATACTTTCAAGGGGCTAACGCATTCACCACACCACCATGCGCGTCCTTCCTTTTTGCCTGTCTCTCAGCTAATAACGATAGTGTTCATATGTGATCTCCAACACTGTGTGATATTTTTTACATCCCACCTCTGTTCTCCATCCAGTTCCTGTTCGAGATTACGAATTCGCTGCTCCAGTTGGGCGATAATTTTCTTCCCACCCTTGAGTGCCGCTGCCTCAGCTTCGTCGAGGCGAATCTGCATTATTTTTCGTTTCTATGCTAATGTATGAGCTAAAGGTTCATTGAGCAGCCCAGCCCCTACCTGCATCTCTTTGATCTGGACCTCAAGACCCTTGCGAACGCGTTCGGTGTGCATGCTATGCTCTTGTTCCTGACGAAGTTCTTCAGCTAGACGTGCAGCGTCGGCAGCAGCCTGCCCGAGAGTGTTTTAGTGAAATCACATAATGTATTGGAAATGAAATGCTACCTTCTTTCCCATTTCATCGAGGTTCTTTAACTCAGCAAGGGTTTCGTCGAGTTCAGCCTAAAAAGGCGTTTTAAAATTTACTACGTGTTTAATGATTCCTCGTTCTTAGTCACTGGACTGTCACTGGATTAGTTAGAATCTGGTGCGTTTTTCAACGTGTTTCGCGTGAACCTCAGGGCAGATGGAGGGACGATTTCCCTTTCCGGCAGATCGAGCGTTACATACTGCACCACTGAGGCCTTAGCCTTTCTGTCAGCTAGTTTTCTACCCAACGCTGCCATCAGCAATCATCCATCCACTGTTCCCCGAGTTTATCGTCTAGAATCCGATATTTTGAATTGCATGAAATGTACTGACGTGCATGGCCTGCAGCTCTCCTTCGAGCTTCCTCTTTACAGCGGTGATGCCGTTCAGTTGAGAGGACAGGTCGTTGTTGTGTTCCCGTAGTTCGATGCACTCTGTCTCGGCATTTCGTCGTGCTCGTTCTGCCGATTCCGCCTGAATTCTTCATTTATCTTCCTTTAGAAATCTAAATTTTCACAAGAATAAGCGTATTCATCGTCTGCTTGAATATCTTTTGTGTAATAATGTGTTGTAGTTTCAAAGGTTTTCATTCAACTTTATAGAAAATTATTAGTGGTGATAGCAACTTGTGTTGAAGGTCGCAGTTCTTTAGAACGAGCAATATTACGACAAGTGAATAAGATCGATAGGTTCAATTGCCAAAATTTTTTGCAGGAAAATCAAAGGTTCTTTCTTTCCATTTTTCATTAGTTCTACTTTTCTTCTGCATATTATACTTCATCATTACTGAATCTGTTTTTAACGTACCATTTGTGAAAGTTCTTCCTTTTCGCTCTGAAGAATTGCGTTACGTTTTTCTGAGTTCAGGAATTGTTCCCTAGAAGTATTCCACATATTCTCATGGACACTTTGAAGTCTTGTAAATTTAATTACTAGCGATTCTGACAATTTTAATATGGGATTTTTCACAGCAACAATGATTTTCGAAGAGAGATCCTTTTATCGCGGGATCGTCAAACAGCGATAACCTACGAAAGCAGGGACATCTGTCCTTAGTCTAACCACAGCTCTCAGTTCTAATGGGTCTTTTTGAACTCCACAGATGTGTTATAGATTTTACTATAGATGCCAGTAAAAAGAGAATGAGAAGAAATTAGAATGTGACCCCTAAACAGCTATCAAAAGCGTATCCTTGGAACCATGGGTGTTTGAAGCCGGAGTTGTTGGCCATTGTACAGCCGTCCGTATCTTTTTCCTCTCGTTTTCTTTTTTCCAAAATCAAAACGGTGATGTCGCACCCTCAGCCTCTGACCGCAATGATTTCAAGCCCGCATAAACGGCAGAGTTCGCTGCTGCGCGAGAAGTATCTTGCCAACCTGATCTCATCCTTTTGTCGCTGTTCATCTTCCACTTGCAACTGCAATTCACGCACATTCTCCATGTACTTCTTTATGGTCTTCTGTGCGTCGGCATTGGCACGATTCGCATGATCTAGTGCGATTTCGAGCTCCTGAAAGGATTCAATGATTTAGTTCCAAAGCAATGTACTAAAAAGTGTGCTAAATGCTCCAGGACTGACGTTAATGTCAGCTTCGAGCTTCTTCTTGATGCGTAAGGCCTCATCTTTCTGTTTTGTTTCGGCTTCAAGAGTGGCCTGCATGCTCTCCAGTGCGCGTTGATGATTCTTACGAGTGTTCTCGAACTCTTCCTAAAGTGGAACATACATGCTTTTGGTACTCTCTAAGGTTAGACATCTGCATTAGTAACCTCCTTCTCCTGTATGCGTTTCTCGATTTCCGAACGGATTTGCGACACTTCAACTTGAGCGCGGAGTACCTAAATCAAAGTGAATTACCGTAACATTAAAGTCCATGGTAGCCTAATTCGTCAAGAACATCGAAAATCACTTTAGCTTCTTCAGCTTCAAGTGCGGCTTCGGCCTCGTCCAAAGCTTTCTGCAGTTCTTCCTTCTCCACTTCTAGGCGGCGAACCATTTTCTGTAGTTCATGAACGGAGCTGGAAAAGATTAATTGCTCTCTATGCTTTATAAAAAGCAGTGAATGAATACGTATAGAAGTTATTATATCTTTGTCCTAAAATATGAATATTGCAAAATCTGAAAAAGTTGTAGGTTGGTCAGTACTTGTGTTCCTTGCGATAGCCATATTGTTACAAACTTATAGGTTTACATGGCAGGAGCATTTAAACCACAGATTGGAACAGATACGAGATCAGCTTGCACAAACGGTTTTGATTTGATGAGATAAGGCTACTAAAAATAGTAGTTTCAGCACTACTTCGGTCGCAGGAATAGAAAATAATCGAAAGGAAAATAGGTGCTTTTACAAATTATTACTGCAGCCTTTAAATCTTCACCCAAATTCAGGTAGGAAAGTGCTTTATCATACCAAAATTCTGGCTCAGTTTTTGAGTCATCTGTTGGAATACTTCTGCGAGAAATCTCACCGTCCTCCTTCACCAAGCTGATCAGCAAGATCTTTCACTTCCTGAGCAAGTTGTTTGTTTTCCCTACGAACACTCTCGAGGTGCTCTGACAATTCATCTTGAGCTGTCTTCGCCTATAAATATTACTATACCTCAATAAAAAGATTCTTGGAAAATAATTTTGTTATTTACCCGGAAAAGATCTGTAGACAGGTTGCGGTTATCCCTTTGGGCAGCGTCAAGTTCAGCGGCTAGGTCATCATGCTTCTTTCTCCATTCGTCAATAATTTTGTCAAAACCTGAAATAGCCTTCAAACTTTGTTTGGAAAACAGTGAAAAGATAAAGGTACATGAAACTATGAATTAAGAAAAAACTAAGACATTAAACTAGGAAGTCTCATCGCTCGTGGTTAGTCTTTATAGCCATTGGGGAAAGTTTGGCACAATCATATCAATCATTGACTGACTTTTTACATTCCACTAGTCAATACTTGTACTAACGAAAATCTTTTAAACTATGCTGAAAGTTACCTTTTTGCTTTTTCTCTAGGGCAGCAGCGTATGACGCAGCACGTTCAACATCTACCTAAATATTCACACTTCAACTTTACGTACTGCCTTAGAATGATTTGATACGCATTTGTTGTAGTCGTTCCATCTTTAGTCCAGGAATTTTATTTAAGTACTACAGTTTCCTATGAATCAGATTGCTGAGCAAGGTGTTCAGTGGTTTGTGCTCATTTCCTACCTGTGCGTCATCGAGGTCTTGCATTAGTTTGTGGCGGGTCTTTTCGAGCGAACCAATCTTCGCAAATGCCAGCTCGTTCGCTTCGGTCAGTTCCTGGACCTTCCCTTGCAGCTTACGCCTGCAATTCACAATTTATTCACATTTCTCGATGGAAAGCACTTGGAAGTGGTAGAAACCCTCATTGGACTTCTTGGTTTGCAACCGTTTCTGCTAAATGCTCTTTGGAACTATACAGGATTGACTTTTAGAAAAGTAATCGAGTTAAAGTGTGTGTTTTCATTTTTATATTCCAGCTGCGGTCTTTAATACAAACAGCTTACTTGGCATCCTCGATTTCGTCGAGTTTCGCGAGACCTTCGCTTTCGAATCGTGCTTTCCATTGCTGAATCTCGGCATTTTGTTTGCTGATTTGTCGAAGGAGCTCGGCCTGAAACGAGTCGAGGGATTGCCTACCCTGCTGGCAACACCTCACATTCTTCGGTGAAGTTGTGAGATTTCAGTGAACAAATCGAAATTTCGATGAGAACCTTAGCTTCGGATTCTGTGTCAAGTTGGTCTCGAAGGCTATCGTTTTCATGCTCGAAGTTCTTCACTTGGGCAGCCAAAGCCTGGCGTTCACTTAAACAATGTGCTTCAATTTCCTCTAATACTAGTCGTTCTTCAATAAATTCAATTCTTTTACTTGTTCGGAGAATTGGAATCATTTCTCAAGTTTAAAATTTCTTCTTTTAGTGTGAGCAATATCTTCAAAGTCGGTGGACCTAATGGATCATGAAAGTCTAAAATATGTGAGATAGGGTCGGTATCGATAACGCTATTACCCTTTCCGGAGAGGGGAGGGGGAGCGTTCATCACCCTTTCAGCTAGTTTCCTATTTACCAGTTCTATCACCTGTCTACAGAATTGATCTAGGGATAGTGCGTTCCTTCCTCGCTGGCAGGTACCCGCGGTCCAGAGTTTTGCAAATATCTCACCATCTTTATGGTTAAATCGGTAAAATTACTACGTTTTAGCAAACTAAACGATAGATTTAAACGGTTTCAGGAATTTCTACATGTTGATCCATTGACATTGACGTTACACCTGTTGGAGACAGTCAATGATGATTTCGAAGTCCCAATTACAGAAGGCGGTTTTCAAGTCACAATTTTCCGCTTAGAGTGGCAATCTCAATTAACTTGCAAGGTTTTCCCTTCCATTTCCGCAAGCGAAATTACGAAAATTATTAATCGTTGAAAAAATTTAATAATCTTGAAACTATTAGTTAGGGAGATATTTATTACTATTATTATTATTATTATTATTATTATTATTATTATTATTATTATTACTGTTATTATTATTATTATTGGATGGAATAAAAGTACACATCGAGGCATCCTAGTATCCAAGCACTATTATTATTATTATTACATGACCCGCGACCACATCAACTGTGCGGTTCCCATCACGTCTTGCAACTACATTCGTTTTCCTTGCACTCATTGTTCGCAGTGGTTTTCGAAGATTTCGCGTGTTGTTTCGGCGGCTGCCTGAGGATTTCGACTTCTTTGTGAATGTCGTGGAATGCTGGTCGAGTCCATTCTCTTTACAGTCTTGGAGATAGCCGAGCTAAGGCGTTTCCACATGAATTGAGGGAGTGTGTTAGGAAAAGGTGTCGCGCCAGCACCTTGCTTTCTGATCGACTGCATCACTAATTATTCCGCTACTCCCTTACCCAAGGCAAATATTGTTTAATATCACACTGGTTGTAACATCATAAAGTTCAATTCACCGAGCTTCCTCGTCATAACTGCGCTTTGTCTCCTCTAGTTGACTCGCCAACTGTGACTTCAAACGGTGCAGGTTATTCAGCTGAATTTACACGTTCATACTGGTGGTCGAACTTTCTTATCCAACACATCTATTACAAAAGCGTACTTGATTTTCCATATCTTCTAATTGACGTCCAAGTTCTCCATTCTCATTGTGGAGTCGGTTCTGCAAAATACGTCGAGTAATTTCTTTAAATCCTAAGCATTTTTTCTGAACTAGATAGTTGAAACATTGCTCCACTCACCTTAAGAGAAGCGAAGTCGTTAAGTTGCCGAGATTGCTCGTCGGCTTTCGTCTGAGCCTCGGCATATTGCACTTCCACCACTTTAAGCTGCTTTTCCAGGTCTTGACGTGAACGTACCTGCCGTGTTCTTTATGTAATATGATATGATTATATATGTCTAATTCGCATTCTTAAGCTGCACCAACAAGCGAACTAGAGGACAGGAGAAAAATTATGTGAATTTCGAGGCACTTAAGCTACTCCTAATCAGAATAGTGTTGTATCTCAATATGCTTATAAGTCTACCGTACATTGAAAATAGAGACCGAATAGCTCTTGAATAAATACTGTTACATTACTGCTGCAGTTCCGAAAGTTTTTGATAACTTCTATGAAAATATCTAGAAATGTCACAGCTTACTTCACTGTCGACAGATGCCGAAACTTCCTCCAGTTCTCGTTGAAGCTGTGCTTTTTCCTTGTCTGCCTTAACTTTGAGTTTTTGCAGCTGCTCAAGTTGATCAGTAAGCTCGGCAACCGCGTCGTGATGCTTCTTACGAAGTGACGCGAGAGCCGTTTCGTGATTCATGTTCGCTTCCTACAATACGTAACTAATTATGTTGATCTTTAAATCATCATCAGCAGCAACGAACCTCCAGGTCACGTCGTAGCTTCGCGAGTTCGGCTTCTCGTTTCTTGTTTGCCTCTAGTTGGGCTGCAGTGGCACCGCCTTGTTCTTCAAGTCGTTCGCTGATCTCTTCAAGCTCGCGTTGCAGCTCAGAGCGAGATCGATCAGCCTTAAATGTCTCAATCAAGATTCCCCCCGACGATCCAAAAGTTTTCGATTTATTTCCTAATATTCTGTAGCTAATGAAAGATTTCGAAATAGTGCGCATTATCCAGGAAAACTTCTTGCTCCGTACCACTTTGTCATTTTTATGATATGATGTTTAAATAAAGTGTAAGACTATACTTTAGCGCGGCTCTGGCGCTCGTTCTCGAGCTCCTCCTCAAGCTCGGCAATGCGAGCCTGCAGTTCTTTGATTTGGCGTTGCAGTTTGGCGACAAGCGACTGCTCTTCTTCAAGGCGCGTTGAGAGTTGATGAAGTTCTGCTTCCTTCCTAGAAATGTAAAAGAGTACTAGACCTATCATGACGCATCGTCCAAAAATGTCATTAAAAAGCAGTAGAAAGCGTCCTCTCAGCACGAGTTTAGCCATGACCCTCGATCCAGTCGAGCAATTAAGAACCCGATTTGCACGTTTACGGCCTAAGAATTGTGTATCAAAGCCGGCTTTGACAACCTTTGCTGTCTACGCACCGACATTATACTATAAGGAAAACGAAATCGAAAAGTTCTACGTGGACTCGGAGAAGTTCTACGGAGAAGGCCATACATTCTTTAAGGCTATCACTGAGCACCTTAACTTTCGAGGTGACACCCCAAGGTAGAATCGCACGAGCTACAGGCAATCGCCAACCGAACATTTAAAACAATGCAGAAAGCGACTAAATAAGATCGTGAAGAGAAAGTTGCAGTGTAGGCTAACACTAATTCATGGAGGAATGTAACTATGACAGATCTAATGTAATTTTCCTACTTCTTCATGTTCTGTTCAACATCGTGCTTCTGTTTGGTGATCTCGTCAATGTTCTCTTGCGCAACCTTTAGTTCTCCTTCAACTTTGCGCTTAGCCCTAAAATTCCAAGTGAAAAATTGCTTAACAGTGCTAACCAAGAAAAATCTATGGAATGAATCACAAAGATGGGTACGATAGTTTGGTAATGTGGAAACGGTTACTTTTCGAGGTCTTGGCGAGCTCGCTTCTCGCGATCCATAGAGTCTTCCAGATCGTCCAATTGCTGCTCGAGTTTCGCTCGCACCTTCTCCATGTGATTCACGCGGTCTTCCTCGGCTTGAAGGTCTTCCATCAATTTTCGGTTCACCTATTAAAATTCTTGTCATGAGTTCAAATGTTTTTCATTTTAAGAGGTTCATATTTTTATTGAGCGTACTATTCTTTTACGACTCTAATACTAACCTAATTTAATGGATTAATTTCGAACTCGAAGTGGATGACTTGGCTTCACCCTTTAACCTCGTTTTCCAAATAATGTAGCACTAGGCTATAGTAAAAAGATATCTAATCTAGTTAGGCTAGTTACCTTAATTTACTAATCGATAATCTTCCTGGGCTGAGTTTCTCGTTTCTGATTGGAAGTTTTAGTGGTAACGTACGTTCAAATTTTATTTAAGATGTTTTTTTTTCTGTCTTCAAATAGCGACAAACAGCCAGTAGACAGACCTCCTCCTGGTGTTTCTTCTCTTTGTTCAAGCGAGCAACAGCTTCGTCTTGGTTGGCCATTTCGTCTTGAAGGGAACGGATATTGTGATCACGTGCCTGAAATGATTTTAAAAAGTAGAAATATGTGGGTCTCTTCTCTCCCGCAATTCTCATTTTTTTCACGTTTGTGTTTTTCAGTCACCTGTTTCTCGCTCTCTGCTTTCTTCAACGATAGTTCGAGATCTTGCGCGTGCTTCTTGTGTTCGGCGATCTCCTGTTCGTACTGCAAACAAGTTTTTCACGAAGTGTTCCCGACTTCTGTTGTTTCTGTCTAAAATGCTTAAGCAGATACCTTCTTCTTTTGTCTGTTCAGGTCGTTGTTACGGTCTTCCATGTCAGCAAGGCGATCCTAGAAAGAACATGGAATGAACTATGATTTTTGAGTTTATATCCTCAAGAAAGCGACAAACGTTTTTACTTGGGAACACCTAGACGAAAATTTTCGTGTAATTTGAGAGTATAAGGAAAAAAGCGAGGAGTAGTTCATTTTCATGAAATAACGAAAGAGAATGAGAACTTTCTATGAAACAGTTAAGTATTGACAGAAGCTATTGAGAGAGCATCCTACGAGTTTTTTACACAAATACTTGAATCTCTCTTCATTGAATCCGTGGTTTTCAATTCACTTCTGTTTTTCTGGATGTTTAAACACTGAATGTCTCCATTTTTCTCAAGAAACAGAAAGTTTTCAATTCTACTCAGTTTTAAGCTTCGACGTTCCAGTTGATACAGTGTGATAAGAAAGAGATGTGCCTTTGTGTACCTGAACTTCAGCGAGTTGTTTATCGAGATCGGCTTTAAGAGCGCTGAGTTTCTGATTGCGCTCTTCAGCGTCTTGAAGATTCGCCTTCTCCTTTTCTAGATTGAGGAACAGGGCGTTCTTCTCTTCAACTAGTCCTGCTACCTAAACACCAAAAATTTTTAGTAGTTTAAGATGGGTTATCCGACGCCTCAGTCATTAATTAAGAAATAGAATCTCATCGATTCCAGATCTATAGTCTATCTTCTTGACATTCCAATGGTTTAAATATTGTGTTGACTTCAAATTTTTCTCCAAGGTCATTTTGACGTTATTGGAAGCAGCACGTTACTAGGGAGATATTCGTTTTGTGGAGCACTTCGAAAACGCGATGTACCCGAATGCCCAACGAATTCTAAGAATGGTATCGTTTCAAGAATTGTAGGCATGGGGTGCTCACATACCCAATCGACTGCTCAAACTTCGTGCTCATGTGGAATTATTCTGCATTATCGTCTTTTGTGCATGGCCTAGAGTGTGCCAATCTCCTGATCTTACCTGAGTTTCAAGCTGCTTTCTTGTTTCATCACCTTTGGTGATAGCTGCCTCAAGTTCTTTGATCTTTTCGGACAATATTCCCATCTCCTCGGCTTCCTTTCCAGCTTTGAGTAATGGCTTGACCTAAAAACGTGGACTTTGTTTGCTCTCCTCAGTGAAATATGGTATGACAGTTAACGTTTGTGTCTCTTGGGAAACCATTCATCCCAAGAATATTTTTTTGACTCTTCATTTGGTAACGACTTGTTTTCTCTGACATGTCATTTTCCGGTCTGTTACATAGGTATTCTGCAAAACTGCGAAAGAAGCAAAAGTAGCGAACCTTTCCGTAGAGTTTGAACCATTCCCAGGTACGAAGTGTGCACCAAGATCGTACATTGCGCTGCACAATGAGCAGTCCTAGAAGATATCATGAACTTTGGATCTCAATACAGACGAACGCTTCAAAATTGAATTACCGGCTTGTTGTTGTTTTCTCCTTCTAAGGTCGGTCTGTCCGAGATACCACCTTGAAAATCCCAATTTTAGATTCTATCCACTCAAATGCATTACGACTTATATCCCAGATTATGCATTGAGTAATAGCTACTATTTGTATTTATTGCATTCGCATTAGGAGCTTGTTTAATACGGGAATCAAGTCAGCAATGCTCAAATGTATTTAACCTCTTTTCATTAAAAACCATGAATGAAAGATTCAACTCATTCATAGAACAACAACGTGGAATGTAGTAATTCAAAAGGAAATCTACCTGATTCGGCTCTGGAAGTTGGTCATAATCACTCTGAGAATGTCATCACGCAAATCTTCAAGTCTGGCAAGAATACCGGCTTTGAAGAACACCTGCAACAGAACTTATATATCAGTAATACTTCTGGTTAAAATTTCAAAGCATTTTCAGGTTTTGGTTTTAAAATCTATTGCTAAAAATCTAAAAAAACTGGAAGAATTGTGAATGATCTTTTTCACTGCTTTCTCTAGCCGCGATAGCTCATTCAATTTCATTTCTTCAATAAGCTAATTGTTTTAAAAGTGATGATGACCAAGCCATGCCTTAGTGTTTCCGATCTTGAATTCCTCATCTTTCAAGTTACCCTCGGCGACCAATTTGTCGGTGATCGCAACCGATGCCGTTTTCGTGTCTTCATTCTTAGCCACATCAGCGGCTAGTACAGCGTACCTGCAGCATATAAATTTGAAATTGTTCAAAAATAACGATTCGCCCAGCCTTTACTATTGCATGGTTCGTTTCCAAGTTTCATTGAGCCTAAGAAAGTGTTAGAACAGGTTTGCAGAAATTCCCATGACTTATTGAAGTGATCTAATGCGCTAGCAAAGGACCACTACAAGAATTTCGAAAACTTCAAGCCCTACATTCCGATCTTCTCGTTCCTTTCCACAGATTTCTAACATGTGGCATAAATATGTGCTGACAAAATTCTTGCAATCAAGTGATTAGGATGTGCAGCTGGCGGTTCAGTGTCACTTTCACGAAATAAGCTCCGCATCTACTTCTCGGAAAGTCGGATAACATAATTATGATTGTACACAATCACCGTTGCGGAAGGTGGACGAGGAGATCTTTGAATACCATATAACCTAGTGCAATCAAAATCATGGGTCTCTTTCGGAAAATTTCTGCGTTTTTTTATTGATTTTTTTATTTACCTCTTTGAATTAACTTATTTGATACAGTTGATCGGATACAAAAAAACTATACCTGTGCCTGAAGTCATCATATAGCATTCTGTTAGGGAACCCTTTTCTGCAAATTCGAATACCTTCGAGCACACCATTACAGGTTAACTGGTTAAGCACGAGAGCAGAATCAATGAGACCTTAAAACGTCTAAGTTGATAATTTTGAAAGGTCTTGTTAGTTGGCGTGGCCTTGCATGGATGACTCAGTCGTGAAATTCAAATCAGAGCTAAGAAAAGATGTCGTGCGACGAGGTCAGTTCCTATTTTTAACCTGTAAAAATTCTGTTATTTATCACGGAAAACTTACCGGATTGCTTTTTCTCATTGGGAATGATACAACGAATGAAATGAGGATGAGTCTGGTAGAGCATGTTCATTAGATTGTTTAGCGATTCGCGATAAATCATGGATACTGTCATGAACGAGGACGATTTGCCCTGAAACCTGGGCTTTCAATGATTTTTTGTAAATAGCACGACTATGAGTTGTTTCCCACACTAAAATAGATTATGTCGGAAATTTGAGTTCTGTCGAAAGCTTATTTTTTACTTGATTTGATATTATCCTCATTTTCTTTTACTGAATGACTTGCCTTCTTTTTTCCGCCGCCTGTTCCACTCTTTGCTGCCTCGGCAGCCTCTTCCTGTGTTTGATAGTCTGCCCATATATCGAGCATAAGCTTACATCCGTGGGAATGTGTCTTTAGCAGCGCTACAGCCGAATCATTCAGGGGATCCTAAATGACTGGCCAGTTTTTGAAAGTAATAAGATCTAATCAACTTTCTTTGTTGTACCTTGTTCTTCTCAAGGAAGTTAGTAGCGTTATACCGTACAGTTCCAGCATAGTGAACAACAGCGAAATGAGCTTCAGCCTAGAACATGTCTTATAGCATGTAAGTTATGGCGAGTTTCCAGAAAATTTGATTTCATGGATATCCACCATGCTCATTTTAATCCTTCATGCATACAAATTCCTCATCAAAGTTAAAAAATTATTAAATTTTCTGCATATCTATCGTGTTAGGGGTGATCTCCTCTTACCTGCTTGCCCTTCGGCGGCTTGGGCTTTTGGAAGTTGGGATGTTTGCCGAGATGTTGATCATTTAGTTTCTGTACGTAGGTCATATCAGTAGCTTTGGGAACGATGCATTCCTCATCCAGCATTGATATCAGACCCAGCGGCTGAAACGGATCTCTGAGCTTTCGATAAACCGTAGGCTGCTACTTCGTGTTAAGTAGCCATGAAGTAAGAATTCTAGGATTCTGAAGTGGAAGAGTAAAAAAGTGGAGTTCGACGACTTTATCAGACCCAGGATACTTCTTATTGTTCTGTAATCAATTCGATAGAAATGGAAACTGGAAGTACTTTACTCACGTGTGACGGTATTTTGCTCTACTTTATCGAGTAATATCGTGGTTATATTTTTGTTGATTTCCTCCTTGTTGGTAGTAGAGAGCACCCTTTTACTGTACTTTCGAATCAAAGCTTTTTGATGGAGCAAAATGAAATCGGAAAACATGACAAGTTCACGATTTGGCAGTTGCAACATAAGTGCCCTTGGAATTGAGAACCTCGATTTTCAGTGGAAAAGTATAGGTGCTCACCTTCTCAATCAGCTCAATACATGCTTGTAAATCGAGGCCGAAATCAATGAAGGTCCACTGTATGCCCTCGCGTTTATACTCCTCCTGTTCAAGTACGAACATGTGATGATTGAAGAACTGTTGTAGACGTTCATTTACGAAGTTGATCCAAAGCTGTTCGAATGAATTGAACTGAAACGACTCTCATCATCCTTCGCTTTTTGTCATTGACATGGCAGTCGTTCGATGAACCGAGAACCAACTCACATCGAATATCTCGAATCCAGCGATATCGAGCACACCAATGAAATAGCGTCGTTCGATCTGTTTCGCATCAAGTGTTTTGTTGCATCTGAAGTTCAGGGATTGGTAATTTTAAACGCATCGCTCTTCTTCTCCTTTTTTTTTCGCTTGGAGACATAAATTCTCAGTGTGACATGTAAGGCTGAGAGACAAAGCTACCTGCTAATAAGCCACTTGAACATACGAGCGTAGATGGCCTTGCCGAGACCAGCGACTGCCCAGTGAACCTAAACTCGTGTACTGGATCAGCTAGTAGATTGAAGTATTTCACTTGGCTATATGTACTGAATAGTATTATTCACTAGAGAGACCGTTTTTAAATACTCTAATTCAGTCTAATTCAACTTTCAAATTGGCTGCAAAGCTAGCGAAAGGTACACGACATATATTTCATACAAATTTGAGAGATGGACCGTGCATAACATTTTTTAACTATTATAATTCCACAAGTGATCACGATCACGCATTATCAATAGTCAATTGAAGCGTAAAGAAATTTAACTCATTCATTGTAGGCTTTTTAAGGGAAAATAGGTAGTTGGTCATTTCGAAAATCGTCATCCAGATGTGAGTATTCGTATGAACTTACTAGTCTGAAAGCATTTTTAGGATTCAGTGTTTGGTAATTCATTGACGAACCTGTTCAAGATTTTGACCCTTATTCACCCACTCAGTGCCGACGCGTACGCGAGGTTTCGTGAGTGCCTTCAGGAACTCCTCATGGTTTACACCAAGATTGTGAGCAACGTTCTGTGCATCTGAAATAAATTGTGGTGCTGATTACAGGGTTCAGCTAATGTATAGATTGTTAATTTCGCTTCTAGTGGAAGTTCATCGAAACAGTTGAGATTAAGCTTGCTAATGGTTCAAGTCTTCTCGAGAGATTACATAGGTGCTTCGAAACCGTTTCGTAAACTTGGATCTAAGGTTAATCAATGAAAATGGAAAGAGTACTTCGATGTCTACGATGTAAGTGATTAAAAGATTTTTTAAAATCAAGATCTAATATTGTGTCTCTTTTACTAACGGATTCTTCATCAAAATTTTCACCTTCATCGCCATCGGGTTCTGCTTGCTCTTCTCTTGGTCTCTGCTTGAATTTCATTTCTCCCATGTGCAGGATAGCGGCGCAGCTTTTGTATAGATCCATGACTTCATCGTCTTCAAAACCCATGATGTCGAATGCCTCCTGTAATGTTGGAGTGAACTAGTAAAGAGTAAGTCTAGTAGTTACTGTCGTTCTTGTAATGGATTATGGAAGAGCGACTTATGGTAGGTTGATTCAAAGCGTATCGTTATAGTGGAATTTGAACAAATTTCCTATTAAATATAACCACACCTGTGTTAGACCCATCTCCTCTTTGTCATTGACTCCATCAATCGTCAACTCAGCTTGCGAACAGAAGTGATAGTATTTGAGGTCATTGTTGAGCTTCAGGAGACCTGAGTCGACATAGTGCGATGTTGTGAAAATTCATTTCTGTTTAAAGTAGATAGCTGCTAACTGGGACATACCGCGAAGTTTGGGATCATATCCGGACATGATCTGGTAGAAAATATGGTAACTGCGTTCACCAGGCGCTTGGCGAACCACTCGAGACTTTTCCAGTAAATCTAAAATTTAGCTCCTTCTGCCTTTACCTTATCGTTTCAATTTACTTATTGTTTTGTATGGGCTCTACTATCTTGGAAATATTTCGTTATCCTGAATACTACCATGCGTTTACCAACGAAGGCGTAAACGACAGGAAAGCAGCCAAACTTTTTGGATTACCTATCATTTTTACTTCATTTTTAATATCTTTAGCAATGCCGAACATCTTTAGAAATACTAACAGTGTTCAATGTCTCCTCCAGCAAGCTTTCCTTGAGCTGAGAAGTGGGTTCGGATAAATTTACCGAAACGAGACGAGTTGTTGTTACGAACAGTTTTCGCATTTCCTAAAAATTAGGCCTTAGTGTTCAACACTACAGTGTAGTATCGAGTGTGCCAACCGAATGCCTCCAGCACAGGATTGGTCTGCACAATCTGCTCCTCAAGAGTTCCCTACAAAAAGTAATTATATTGTTTTGTTAAAAGAAGAAGCTATCCTTAGTTACTTACTCCTTTTCCTCCTTCCTGTTTGGAAGCTGCTTGTTGAGTTGAACCAACAATAGCGAAGTATGAGATTACCTACAATATTTATTCATAACCCAACCATCAGTTATTTGGTCAAACTTTTATGGTATTTTTTATCACAATGGAGCACATTCTTCTTATGAATGAGAGAATCATCACATTTTTTGGAAATCTCACCTTTTTAGTATTTTCTGTCTTTCCGGCTCCAGATTCTCCAGTAATTAACATAGACTGGTTCTCACGATCTGAACGCAGATTTTCTCAAGAAGATCTCAACTAACTCCCTTCTCATCATTAAACTTTTCTTCAAGGGTGCTTACCGTGTTTGAGTAGTCATTTTACGCGCTGAAGGCCAAATGTAAAATGTTTGCATTATCTACCCTATCTGACATAGGGTTGGATTCCCTATGCTGGTTACATAAGTGCTTTGTCGAAAAGGCTGATGGTTTCAGATGCCATTTCTACCACAATCAGTTATGAAATGTTTCGCTGTCAAGTCGATCCCATTACTTTCTGGTGGTTACATGTGCTCTCAAACTGACCTTGCACCATGTTTCTGTAGGCCTCGTCAGAAGTGGCGAAGAGATGCGGTGGCATCTCGTTTCTTCTCTTGCCCATGTAGAACTTGATCACCGACTCCGTATAGATAGGCAGACGCTTGTACGGATTAATTACGACACAGAACAGGCCGGAGTATGTCTTGAAGAGTCGGAGTTGAGGTTTTAGAAAAGCACTTACTGAGAATGTTTAAGAAATTTGTTTTGATTTTATACAACTGGCTGTCTGTTATCCGTTTCTTGCTCGCAAGTTTAAATTACTAACTGTCAGTGAAAAAGTCGCAAAATCGTGTACCCGTCCAGTTCATAAAAAATCAATGCATCTTTAATAATTTCTTGTAGGCGTGGGATATTTTGTTGTCAAAGTAATCTGACATACGTAGATCATCATATCCCTGTATCGATCCTTAAGATTTGCCAATACAGAAGCTTCGTTCAAGAACGTCAAATTCGCCATGTCTTCGGTTTTATCGAATTTCGGAGGATTCATTTCTTGCGCTTCATCTTTCTTTATGGTCACCTTAAAAGCAAAAGCTTTAGACTTCTCTTACCTCGAGAAATTTGACTTTATTGCATATAAACCGAACATTTTAGCACAACTTCTGAACCACCCATTTTTCTCGAATATCTTCACGTCTTTCTCTTTGCCCTCCCTTTAATTCTAAAGGTCTTCCTGGTCTTCCTGAATTGGAAAGTGAATATGGTCCCATTATCGCCAGTTTTTATTTATTGCCTAATAATTTTTAATGGCAGCGTATTATGTGGCATAACCATAGTATTGCTGAGATATTTGCAAAACTCCTTAACGTTACCACCGCAAAGGACAAAAGCGTGTTCGGTCCCAACCACAGGGACCAACGGTCCGGAGTTTTGCAAATACCTCAGCAGCATTATGGTTATGATTCCATTGCTTCAAATTTATTCAGAAAGCGAAGAGCTTGATTGTGCAAGGTATTCACATTTAATGCACTTCAGTCAATGCTAGTATAAAAAGCTTTGTTACCGATCTATTTAGAAATTCTTAGGGAAGATCCTATCTACGTTGATATTTTCTCAGACTTCTCTGCTAATGTTGAGTGCTTCTAGACATTAAGGAGTTAACAAGTTCGCTTTCATATGCATACAGTAGATTTTATGAATCACGCTGTCAGCTGTGGTAGGCTTCAAAAATTCCAGAAATCGGGGTACAACAGAAGTGTAAGTAGTACTACCAAATAAAAAACGAACACGCGTAAGTCGAAAGATGAAAAGCAAGTTTTTTCTGCAACGAGCGTTTCCGAACGTAACGCTCGTTGCAGAAGACGTTTTTTCACCCTGAATTCTATAGAACCGTAAATGAAATGAATTTCTCAGATCTAGACTCTCCAGTACTTACCGAATTTCCCTTGGCAGTGATCACAGTGACTTGATCACCTTGTACAGATTGGATTTCAGCTGCGACGAACCCTAAAATTGAGTGACGTTACAAGGAGCTTCACATCGACGAAAGGAAGGCGACATTATGATGGCCATTTCATCTATGAGGGAACTAGCGGTCTAAGAACGTTAGACTATGAATGGAATCCGTTATTTTAGAGTTCGTTTTCCCTTCTGTGTCACCTCTACAACTATGCTTTGCTGGTGATCTGTTAGATGAATACGTTTTTTCCAAAACAACAGTATTTCATGGAACAGAGAGATAGCGGTGTTTTATTTCTATCATCGTTTCTCTTCGTTGATAGAGTGGAATTCTTGGCAGCTAGGAGATCTGGCGGTCAGTTGGTGGAGGATTACAATGCATCCACAACCACCCACGCTATGTTAGAGTGTACAACGTATAGTTTTATAAGCGCTATGAGGGCAGCAGAAGGCGAGAGATCGTTGGTGGCAACTATTCTTAGAATGAAAACGAGCCGCTCGAAAACAAATTACTAACGACGAAAAATTCGGAAAGATTTCTTGTATTTTTAACAAGAATTTTCAAGTATCCAACTATTTGGATTGTTTTGTTTAGGAGTAATACGTCTTAATTTCTTTCCCAAACAATTGTAAATATGCTTCACAAAATTGTGAAAGGTAGAAAATTGAGGAAGACTTTTGGTTTTAGGAAAAATGGAATTCTGAAAAGTGTCCGGCGGTCATGGGAGTGCTTCGTGATTTCACTGATTTGTGAGCATTTGTTATTGGAATTCAAAGACAGAAAGGCATAGATTCAAAAATTGTTTAGATATTTTGTATTCATTGAGTTAATACAAAAATAATCGTGGGTCTTGCTAAAAGAAATGCCGTTCTGATGATGTAGATGTGAGAAAAGCCCATTTCAGTGCTTTTAATTATAGCGATCCATATGTTACACTACGGACCCGATCTGAGCCATAACGCCGTCGCTTTCTCGCCAGCACAAAGTGGTTTATCCGATCACGCGTGTCGGAAAAATACTAGCAAGGTGATGGACACATCCAAAATCCGGTACGAACCATGCGGTTATCCACTGTGTAAGAAAGCAAGTGCCACATGTAAATAAATGAAGCTAGAAAATCCACCTTGACTGGCAATACGGAAGCCATGCTGAATAGTTGAAGAGACGTATACTCAAAGATAACCGAATGGCAACGAACCAAGGAATCCGTGTATTTTGAATTTAAACCCAACGCCTAGCCAGAAAATAAACCTTTTTTTTTCCTTGAAACATATTCCAAACTTATAGTGAGTTGTGGGCCTATTTTATTAATTTTCTTGAGCACCAAATTACCCAATAACTGCCATCTCTTCTAACTGTTGAATGTATATCTATCTGGTGAAATATCCAGTTGTTTCAAAAAATATAAGCACTCTCTTTTTCAGTGCTATTCAGAGGATTAGGACAACTTTGGTCAATGATGGAGACGTTTACGAGATCAAAGTCGTCATGAGAGTAATGAGAGTAAAGTGATTCATTCAATTCCACATCGCCTCACCATCTTCCGGATCTGGAACCCATACGTTCTTCTTTGAATCGAATGGACGATTCGCCGATTCGGCTCTTGCTTCACGCGATATGCCCAGATACTGATAACCCGGATCCTTTTCGAAGTCGCTGTTCGCCATGGCTGTAAAAAATCTCTAGCGATATTGACTTGCACCAGCATCGATAAGCTATTGAGCCACAATAGCGGCCGCATTAGTGGAGAAACAAAGCACTTGACACATTGACATCGGATATGTTAAGGCAGTGAGACTGGATTCTCTGAAATCCTGGCCTGGAAAGTGGCAGGTATAAAAAAATTTGACCTATTCGATACGCACCCATACTCAAACCTATTTCCTGGGGCAAGACAATTCAGAAGAAACTGGTAATGAAACAGGAGTACTCGTAACGTATCATAAATACCGAATTCCTATATGGCAATGGTCTAAATATTCAAGATATGAAAATGTTTTTACATGATGTCAGTATCGTCGACATTATTAGACATTTACTAACGGAAACTGTTAAACGAAGAGGAATCAAAATAATTCGAAATTTGTCAGAGGAAGTAGCGAAGTAACAAAGAAGAATACGGTCAATCCAGCAAACTTGTAACCACGATTGGCCTTCACCACGAACTACAACAGTTAGAGACTAACTGCTTAGGTGGCGGCTTTTAAGCGCTTGATCAGTGAAGGGTGTGAGATGTGGGCGATCGGCAAAGGGCGGAGCATACTGCCTCATCCCTCAAGGGTTGCCGATACTTCGCTTCGATCTATGATCCGTTTCACCTTGCGGATGACGTCCAACACATGGGAAAAAGGTTGTCATGTGCATGGATTTTCGGAAAACTTAATGAAACGTTTTTTTTCTCAAACGAATCTATGAAGGTTCTCAACTAGTAAGTTAGAGTTCCTTCAGGTGTCGCTTCCATCTGAACAGCGAAACAGTAGCTCTTGGCTGGAAATAATTCCTAACATGGGCCGATTTTGGAGAATATCCTTATAAGATGGTCAAAATCATGTTAATTTAAAACCACCTTAGACGCGAGTTTAATGAAGTATTTCATTGAATATGCTCTAAATGGAAATTAGTCTTCATGCTTAGGCTCTCTGATAAGTGAAATCGACTGAGTCAATCAAAATGGGATGCTTATTGCAGAACAGATTCATGAGGGCAAGGGTACAAGGACTTATTCTGTGCAATCGATGTCATGTCAAACTGCAAAGCTTCATATGATGATAGTACCTCAGAATCGTTTTTCCAAAAACGATTCTGACAATCGAAGAGAATTCAGAGACTTTTAAGTTTAGAACACTAGCCTTCAGTTGCAACGATTTGCCTTTTCATCACTTTTACTCACGGAATTGATATTGGTTTGACACATTGAAACCTTTCCCGGTTAGTATAGTGAAAACGTCCAAGTAATGAGAACTGTTATCGCTGCCTTCAAAATGGTGTTATCTTCATTTTTTTCTAGTTCATTCCGCATTCCATCGTGATACATAAAGAGTAGGAGTAGGCGCTGATAACTTCGTTCCAATCGGCGTTTGCCCTCGGGTTCTGTAATTTGATACCAACTAGCCAGTAGCGTATTATCTTCCTCTATTTTTAAACTGTTTATCAAGTTCTGGTTTTTTTTTAAAGTGAGACCAAAGAAAAATGGAAATCTGGAAAACAAATCAAGAAAAGTAGAAACGTAGAATCAAGAAAACTTTGGTGACAGAAAGGATAAATGTGTCGAGCATGTTCTGAACGGTATTCCATGTGATGGATGTTTTGCACATTTGCCTTATTGACTTGATCATTCAACTTTCCGAATGTTTATACGGGAAATGATGCTTCTAGCTCAACTGTTTTAACCATAAGACGGTCTTTACATAATGTGGAACCTTCCCTTGGTCTGTATATATGTACATGTATAATGCGTTCTTTTTTCGTAGTTAGGTTTAAATATTTGCTGAAAATATGACAAGAAAAGGTTTTCAGAAGGAATATTTTTAAAGACTGCGATTTGCAAAAGATCAATTTATTTTGCTTCATTGATAAGCTAACACGAGGTTTTACCACATATTTATTTGGCTAACGTTTCGACTTCTTCGTCTTCATCAGAGCCGATGATCCCAGTCGATGGCCCACAGCCGTTCCTCTTCTCGATCAAATGTGTCGTAACAACCTCGGGTTAGCATACCAATGAAATAAGGTACTACGATTTGTGTTTTTGGACTAAAATCGACAACTGCTTAGGGCAGTATTAAGGGCAATGTAAGAAAGAAGAAATGGTATGTTCTACGAATAGCTTGTTCTTTTATCCTGTGGTTCATGTGCTATTCTTTTCAATAATTCGTTTTTGAAACTACTGGAAACCACGTAGTAAAAAAAATAAAGTGCTCAAAGAATTTATTTATTTGTTGACAATCTTTTCTGCTTATGTTAACGAATTACTCTTCAATGTTTGCCAAATTCGCTAAGTACGTTGATATCATCCATCAGTGAATACACTATTGCAAAATACTTCTCGCTGTTTTTGTGAATGTCAGCTGTCCCATTTTGGGTGGAGGCACTGTTGAAGGCCTGACACCATCTATTCTCGGCATCTTCTGACAGAATCGCTACTTGCACATGGGGCTGTAATACTTGTGCGTTCCAGGAAGGTCCAGTCAACGGATCGACACTTGTCGCCGTACTGCCGCGTCCACACACCGACGCAAACAGCCGGAAAACGCGCCAGCGAAAAAACAAATCCAACAGTCGATCAACAGGCTTATAATTTACTAGAAAACCTTATCAAAGTGTCAACTTGCTCTAAGCGCTTCGTTAAGTGTTGCAGTTGTTTCCAAAAACGAGTAGCGTTACTTAAAATTATTGGATTAACAAGGATTATTAACCCTTTCGAGACCAAGCTGGTTCTTCGATAACTGATGACAATTTCTGGCTCATTTGAGTATATCAGGGGATCAGAAATTTAAAAATTTTTGGAGTACACATTATTCTATTTTATTAATCATGTATGTAATTCACATGGAGCTTCTTTTCAGATATAGACGTGTTTAGAATAGAACTTTTCAAAAAACTGATATATATTTGAAAGTTCCAACGGCAACTACAATTATTAACGAAACTTTGGAAAACACCATCATGACAGGCGAAGTCGATTTGTTTATTTTCTTTCGTCCTCGGAAAACAAGCCTTGAGGCAATAAAGTGAAAGAAATATGTTCTGGACTTCAGAAAATCAGAATTTCATCGTGGTGACATAACAGAACTTCTATCGTATAGCAAAGCTTTGTGGATTCTAGCAGATTTTATTTTATTTAATTGAATTGTTTACGTGCTGAGATATATTAATTGAAAAATAAAAGTGGTCGTCACTTTCACACTGTATGACTCGCATAGAGGTCACGTCATCGTGGATGTGTTTACTGCTACACGTGTGTTCGGGAAAGGTTTAATGGAGGTTATTAATAGATTTGTCATCAGGACCTTGTGTGACTGTGTGAACGTCTTTAAAAAAGTTCCATGCTATAATTGGCACTTCACTTTGTTGATAAAAAAATCCAGCTGGTGGATATGCCCAGTTCTCTTCTAACGCAATCAGCACGACCGTCATATATCATTGCAGTAAAGAAGACGAGGCTGACTCTGATGGATGCAACACCGGGGATCGAGCAACAGCTCTCGATCGATAGCATCGTTCATGATAACTTTTTTTAAACCAATAATCCGCTATTAATGACGATAACGAACATATTTGCAAAAAAGTTTAGCTCGACCTCTCTGAACTTGTGTTGTAACGTGTAAGTTGCAATCTTCAAGAGTTTTTCCTTCCTCAGAGTTTTGTGAAATGCTGTATTTATATTTGGATAAAAGTTTAAAGTGGATGTTAAAATTATCGCTACTATCTCCATTGGATTCGACCTTGTTGATGATGAATTGATTAATATTATGTCGAAATTTGTCGAAAGACTTGCGGCCGTTATTACGGTTGAGAGCACATTTTGGCAGAAAACCCATGAAGCCCGTTGCAGATGGGCAGCTGCGATGTGTATTTCCTTTTTGGTGGCAGCTGTCATCGCTTGTTGAAATGCTTGACCAGTCAACTTCGGCTGTGCTTGTCAGTGATGCGGATCCTCTATTGTGGCACTATCTTCAGTAGGTGCTTTTTTTATAGGAACACCAACGTCTGGGTTGTGAAATTCGGCGACTGAATTGTGTTCCGAGCTCAAATTTATCAAAGTGATTCAAAATTACCGCCTCAAAACAGAATAATGGAATTAACACCTAGTGAAAATGATGAAGAATTCTACAGCCCTGATATCACGGGTTTTCAACTGGTAATCCAGAAAGCTTTTGTAAGTGTAAGCTGCGAGTTTTTAAACATGGATGGATCATTTCCAACGCATCACATAATCTTGGAGGCTTGTTTCTATTTTGTCTTTCCAAACATCGTCGATTTAATCCTAGGTAAGGTTTCCTTTCGTTCTTGTTTTATCTATGGAACATATTCCTCCTAGCAGTTTACCGCCTCATCGTAGCTGGGAGGTGTTCCTGGATGTCGGACTGCGATGTACAGTGGGGGATTCACCACCTGGCAGGGTCTTCCAAGCTAGGAAGGAACCCGGTGTTTCCATCAGGTAGCCTAGCTAAGAGTAAACCAATACCAGGATCCACCACTATCCTGGTATCAAAGTCGCATGGTGGTAAACCTCCCTCTGGTCCACAAGGGCTGCGACTGCTCGTGGTGGTGAAGACCTGGAGCAGACTTTGGCCAGGTTGACCTCGGGACTCCAGGAACCATAATGGCTTAGCTTAACCACCAAATCTTCGAAAAATAGGGATTATGCCGGGGCCCGCTCAACCAGTGAGTACAGGCCACTCAAGTATCAAGTATCAAGTGTGGTGCATTTATTCTGAATCGTATATATCGGCCTGTATTTTATGTTCACTGTTTGCTTTTTTATTTTTAACCCAGTCTATCCAAGTGAAAATAAAAACGAAGCGAAATCTAGAATTTTTTTTGCACGATTCGAATCGTCAACGTAAAACCATGGGAACAACCAACAATAATGCTTCAAGTGGCCAGCAAAGCGCTGAGCGGTCTCTCCAAAGAAAATGCAGCGTTAGTTTCAAGATTTTTGCCA